ACACCATGTTCGAGTACTCTACCATGATCACTTACAAAGTTAAGCAGTATAAAAAACTCGATTTTTATGGGAGGTTCCACGCCCCCTTTTACGATAACCGCAATATTTCTCCATGAGTATGCGATGGCTTTCATATATCTCCATACCATGTTCGACTCCTCTTCCATGAACATCTTCCGGTACATGCAGTATGAAACATTCGGTTTGTATGGGATCTGCTACGCCCCTTTTTCTAATAGCCCCAATTTTTCTTCATGACCATGTGATTGATTTCATATATCTCCATACAAAGCTCCAGTACTCTACGACGAACACTTCCAGAGATATGCAGTGTGAAAAATTCGGTTTGTATGGGAGGGGCCACGCCCCTTGCACCTAGCGGTATGAAACACTTTAAATCCGATTCTCATACCTACCATATAAGCACAAAAAATTTCATAAAGATCGACCAAGCCATTTAGGAGGAGTTCGACCACTAACACCGTGACACGTGATTTTTATATATTAGATTTATGACATTTTTGAGATCATTTGAATCTTCAGTGTTTACATAGGCAAAGAATTCTATACACTTCATTTTAAAATTAATTTTTATTTAAAGCTCACTTTAAACAATTTTAATTATAAGCCGATTTCTCTCTTTGCGTCAGGAAATAACTATATACTTAAGATCCTCTCAGTTGCTTCGTTTGAGTGTGGTATTGAAAAAAAATACTAAATTACATATTTTTTCAAACTGTGGAAAAGCACCACTATTTAAGGACTTCATCTATATTTCCTCATGGCTTAAATTAACTTTTGCAACTACGCAAAAACTTTGAAAGACTAAGAATTCGCTGAAAAATGTATCTAACTTTATGTCTCGTTTGCAAAACTCTTTTACAATGTCAGTAAATTGTGAAAAAAGAATTGTAAATTATAGGCAAATTCGTTGTTATTAAACTGAAAGTTATTTTCGAGATATCTTACAACACACGACAAAAACAAACGTCAGCTTTCTTTTTGAATAATTTAAGCTCCATCACATTATCGCAACTGGTACGTAACGACCCGGCGATATGCCCGTAAAAGATTGATCTTTTTGTTGTATTAATTGCTTAGGCATATCAAACATTATCTGAAACATGTCAACTATAATTAAATTATTTTCTTCTTATTTTTTACAGTATAGTTTAAGGAAGTTCCAACGTTATGTAAAAACCTTGAGAAAAGCCTAAAGTATTTTGTTTGAATTGAAAATTCAGTACAAATCAGTACAAATTTTGAAAAATCAGGACATTAGCGTACTGCTTGAAGAAATTAATAAAATCAGTACAAGAGTTGAAAAATCAGTACTGTACTGATAAAATCAGTACGTCTGGCAACCGTAGCCTGTGACAATGGGTTACTTTTAAATCCAAATAAATGACAGTGCATCGTTATTTACAAGAAGATTTTCAAACTTGAGGGCTACAGTGAAGTGAAATTGAGCAACTCTCTTATAAAATTTGTTGACGCTGCAAGAAACCTAGGGATAATTTTCAATAGAACCCTATCGTGGAATATCCACATTTATAGTGCAATAGGCAAGGTCTTTGGCATGCTCCGTTCATTATGGGCTATTCAGCACTTTACCCCATTGAAAATTCGACTGCTTTTAGCTAAAACATTTCTGTTACCAACCTTATTGTATGGATGTGAACTGTATGCCAATTGTGATAGTCTGTCTCGTGGTTAACTTAATATCCTCTACAACAACATTGCCAGATACGTGTATTGTGTAAAACATCGTGATCACATATCTGTTTTTGCCTTAAAAATATTTTCTGTAAAGTTCGATGGTTTATTAAAAGTAAAATGCCTAATGCTGCTTCAGAAGGGCATTAACTCTCATGAGGCCAAATACCTTGTTAAACGAATTCAGTTCAGTAGATCGGCCCGATCACTTAACCTGCTTAGTACGAAATACAGTTGCCTTGTATCTGAACGTCAGTTTTTTTGTTTTTGCTGTGCGTCTTTGGAACGCTCTGCCATATAAGATCAAAACTGTCCGAAGTACATCGCACTTTAAAAATGAGTTCTTACATCATTTTGCCCTCTAAATTGCTAATATGCACGTACACATATATCTTTTTCTAATACTTCTTTGTTCTTCTCCTCCTCCTTCCACATTTTTACAACCTACGGTTTCCCTTTGTCAAATATTTTGCATTTAAAGCACCACTATTTTTATACCCGAGCGCACTTGTGCACAAGGGTATATTAATTTTGATCACATAACGGTTGTTTGTAACAGCCAAAACGAATCGAGATAGATATAGACAAATGTATACATAAATGATCAGGATGAATAGAGAAGTCGATTAAGCCACGTCTTTCTGTCCGTCCGTCTGTCCGTCCGTCTGTCCGTCCGTCCGTGTACACGATAACTCGAGCAAAAATTTAGATATGTCAACGAAATTTAATTAATCCAAGGAAGGTTGGTATTGAAAATGGGCGAAATCGGACTGTAACCTCGCCCACTTCCCATATAACGGTAATTTCCAGAAATACGAAAACTGCGATATTTTAGTAACTACTGAAGATAATTCACTCAAAATTGATATTTACAATAATTTTTAGACGAGAAATAAGAATATTATAAATTTTTGGAAAATGGGCGTAGCCACGCCCACTTATGGTTAGATGTGTGTGTCTTGGTAACCGCTGCACCAATTTCTTCTAAACTTGGCACAGTTGTTAGCCTTAGTACAGCATACTAAATGGGCGAAAAATTAAAAAAATCGTACAATAACCACGCCCACATCCCATATAACGGTAATTTCGAGAAATACAAAATCTTCGATAAATCAGTAAATATTGAAGCTAATTTATTCAAAATTGATGCTTGCAACAATTCTTTACCAAGAAATACGTTTGTGGTGAAATTTTGGAAAATGGGCGTGGCACCGCCCACTTATGATCACAGATATGTATATCGGTAACCGTTCTACCAATTTGTACCCAACTTGGTATTTTTACTGTGCTTGCCACATAAAAGCAAAACGTTGAAAATTATTGAAATCGGACTAAAATTACGGCCGCTTTTCATAAAACGGTAGATTTCAGAAATGCTTGACACTTCAATATATATTTCGAAATTTTAGGACGCTAATTTACTCAAAATTGATACATCCCGGCTTACCATCTAGCGGTAGGTTTCGAAAAGGTGAAAAAACATATATTTAGTACTTGCGCCGGGTATTTAATGTTCGGCTCCGCCCGAACTTAGACTTTCTTACTTGTTNAATGTTATTTTAAAGCTTTTATAATTAAGTTCAAACACTGTAAAATAACTTATGGTTGTGTGTTTGATTATAACGAATAAATAAATAAATAAAATAAGTATTATTTTTAAGCAAAAAAAATAAAAATTATAAAATAATGATTAAATGTTGAGTTAAATTATTATACTCATGCACCGTCCCTGGTATAGAATAGCAAGAAATATGGTGACCCTTTTTTGTCAATCTCCAATTTTCTGCGACTTTCCGAAAATTCGCAAGGGCAACACTACGCTTAAAATGTTTATGGAGGACTAGATGCCAAGTTTTATAAGCTTTCATAAAATAGTTGTATAAAATCGAAATGTTTTGTTTATTATACATACGTAGTCAGATGCCTAGAGCTGTAAAACTATCGATGGTACTATCGAATGTTTCTATTTTTTGGCACTACCGAATGGTCGTTGCCACTATCGATAGTCTTTGTTTGAGGAAATATACATATTGTTTATATTATATGTACTACTTGGTATGATGCATTTTTTTATTTTTGAAAATGGGAATTTGGCAACATTGATTTGCTTACACATCACTATTTTATACCTATTACCGGGTTTAACACGGCTCAAGAATTAAATTCAATTCTGCATGCTAGTGGAAGAGAGAGGTTCAGAAGAAAAGGGAAGAGTACATATGCGTTTCGTCGCCTGGGTAAATGTCGTAAGCGTCATACGTACGTGCGTAACATACGACAATCTTTTACCCAGGCGACGGTTTGTACCGTCAACTCGTTTCAAGTTTCTAGCTTTGCTTTTGACATTTTCGGTGTTTCCCATTTAAAGAGCCAAAAACTGGAATTCAACAAAATTTAAGCGTTTAAAAGCAAATAGAAAATACAAAAGAGAATGAACCAGAATTGCTTTGAAGTACTATCATGTAAACGAGTGTAATTAAATTTGAAAAAAACTAGTTTGAATATCTTATTGGAACCATACTATGGTGTAAGTGATTCTGCGTCGATGGAAGAAACTATTGATATAAGCCAGGGTTAGTCAAATTTTGGAGATTCTTGTATTTCCTTTTGATACTTTGAATGGATAAATAATCATGTAGAAGCCGGGGTACGGTAAGCTATTTGTACAATGATTTGGGTTCTTGTAGCACACGCTTGAAATATGGACTTTTACCAAATTTTGGAGTGAGTTCTATGCAAAAATACTGTGGCGTAGCCGGAGATGGACTGATGAAAGTTTTTTGTAATACATACAGTTTTCTTAACGTTTACAAGCGATATGTTTTTCTACGATTGGGAATTTTAGGTTTTTTTATCGGTTTAAGATATTTTAAAAATCGATGAGAAAGTACAAAAGTTAGCTAATTTTTCAGGAACTTAACAAAACTAAAAAGTTTATATATGTATATAGCTTTGTCATTGCATTTGAAAATTATCCGATACTATCGATAGTATCGATAGTTTCAATGCAAGCTATCGAAAACATCGAATGGGATGACCATCGATAGTTTTACAGCTGTACAGATGCCGATTCTTAAACGTATATGCACTATTGTACATATGTATGTATGGGCGTGTAAGAAGATACGCGGTAAATATTTTAAATCTCTGCGCTTAACGGAATAACTCAACGACATACATATGTACTTATACAAAAACCTTATAATATTGGGTGCAATCCCGTATTCCTCGGACTAAAACTAGTAAAACTGTCAAAAAATAAAAAAATCCCTCAGAGCGGGAGAGTAACATTGAAAAGTACCGGATTGCTTTCTAGTAAAAAATGGTAACTTATGTCAACTTCAACATAACCTCCAAATTTTGGTTGTAAATTTTTGCTTATTTTGTATGTAAATTTTTGCTTATTTTGTATGTAAACACACTCAGCTCACACATGTATGTAAATAACTAAAAATACTTTCAAATTCATTAGAATCCACTTAAACAACTAATTAAACACTTTTCAACATGAATTAGCAAAGTGCACTTTTCTTTTGTTTACAATTTGGTTGCCAAACACACTACAGCTGGTCGTTTGACACATTTACCAGAATTTACCAGCAAAAAATCTTCGGACTAAAACTGGTAACTTCTGACAGAGAGAGGACCTTATTTACCCCCCTTTTTGTCCTCTCAATAGTCAGAGAACCGAGTACGGGATCGATTTCCAGTAAAATCTGACTGATTCTGACTATTTCTGGCTAGTCCGGACTCGTACGGGATCGCAACTATTAAGAGCTAAAACTTACTCGAACGTAGCGGTCAGAAAATGTGGATGTTAAGTATTATAAAAATTTGTGAAGGATATACATATGTACGACTTGCCCGTCAGAGGGACAACTGAAAACTAATCGTGTGCTCTTTCGGATCTAATAATCACAGTTCAGTATATCTAGATAACTTAAAAGCGCGAATTATATTTATCTTTTGAGAATTTACACAATGCAAACTAGATTGTGAGTTTATATGAATACAATCCACGAGATGAGCAAATAAATCCGTCATACCAATCAAAGGCATCCACGCTGCGCTTTTGCATTTTTAACACGTTACAGTGGAAGCAAAAGCAGAAAGCTTGTTTCGTCGAGACCAGAAATTGAATTCTGTCGCAGCATGCTCGAGTACCACACTTTTAAGCTTAGACTATTCCTCGAAATACCACTGTGCTTCATGTTTAGCTAAATTTAACTGTGGAAAGTGGAAGGTGGGGTGGGTTATTAACCGCCCACAAGCCTATTCATTTGCAGAAGCATACGTATATGTGTGTTTCTTGATGTCCACAAATACGTGCGTATATAGGAATAAATATACGTATGTACATATATAAACGCAATACTGTAATTAGTAACGAGCATCGAAAGTTTGTTTTATAACGCAACTCGCACTTGATTTTCATACTTTGATGGTTTTATCTTTAGTAAATACATTATTCGGTTTGGTTCACAAAGTCGTTTTTTACGTTTTGAATTCAAGCAATTTCAGAAGCTCTTCTTGTAAATAATATCTTACTTTACGCGTCCGGATATGCATACATTAAAAATCTCATTCGACAACTATCTGATCTTTTCATTCCATTATCATCGTAGAGCCAAAGGGCACTGATGGGGTTCATGGTGACAGAAAATCTGGATTTGTTGTCAGTAAACAAATTCCCATACTAATTAACATTTGATCTCACTCGCACACATAGCTAGCTCCACTAGCTGCATTGCACAACAGTAGTTTATTCATTACATTTTTGATTGTTGTTTATTCATTTTTCATATGGATCTTACTGCGGTGTGATGTATTTCAATATGTGCTACAAGTGTATGTGTAACTATTTTGGAAACTACCCAGTAAAAAAAGTGATCAGCCTGGCAGAAATAGGGGACCGTTATTTACGAAGATATGATCACACTATATTCCTCCGAGGCTCGTGCAATTTTATTCTTTTGCGTGACGTTACTCCTTAACCTTCCGTTACTAACACGAATTTTATAGTATGGTTACTAATATCGGTCTTCCAGACCGAAGTTCGGAGTTTCTTCATATAAAACACATATCTTCGGATTTTATATTTAATTCTTATTAGTTATGAAAAATCAATTAACAAAATTTCATTAAATAAAATTTACTTAAAAAATACGCTAACAAAAACTTGGGAAATGTTTCATTTGTATGTAAGAGAAATCATATACATTAACTAAAAAAACTACTGTTGTACCTGTTTTTGTATTAATTGCGTGATAATTGCAGTTAAATTTCCCTCTCTGAATTTTGAGTTAGCTCACTTTAGATCTAAGTGTACGATGTGTTATCTCAGCGCTGTTATTCTTGGCCTATGAGTAAGGAACGTTCTGCTCTTCAATCCTTTCAACCTAAGCTATTACAAACCGTTTTTGCCTTTCAACACTAATTTTCAGGGACCTTAAATAACAGTTATTTCTTTTCCACAGTTAAACTTGACCAGATATTTTTAAGTCCAAAATAAAAATCTTTTCCTAATATTACCCAAACCGCTTATCCAAATTAAACAAGTTTGGTGTCAAATGAAAGAGGACTAAAATATCTTTTAAACGAGAGAAGCCTGCTATTGAAAAATGTTTCAATACAAATGTTATTTTAATACCATAGAACAAACCTTGGGTCAAGTAAATATATGAATTTCTTGAGGTAATAAATTATAAAAAAAAATATAAATAAAAGTGGTAACCTTCGTTCGTTACTTCTGTTTAACAGCTATTTAAGTCCTCTTTCATTTGATACCAAGTTTGTTTAATTTGGATAAGTGGTTTGTTTATTATTAGGATAAGACATTTATTGTGGACATAAAAATATCTGGCCAAGTTCAACTAATGAAAAAAAGTAAATGGTATTTACGGTTCCTGCTAAATATTTTTGTCCGATAACAGTTTTAGGTACGCACCAGCTACAGTATACTATAAAAACCGCGAGTTTCAGAATTAAAAAAAAAGGGTCACGCCACTTTGACTCTTCATAACTTCTTTTATATTGCAAGCACATACTTCTAATGCATTCGACTCTCCTCTCCAAATACTACCAGTTAATTAAAAACTGAAACGTGAACAATCAGCGCACCTTTTTTGCAACGTAAAAACAAAAAACAATGGGAGAGTCATACCTTTATTTGTGAAAGTTTCCCAATTTTATTTCTGAATTATATGCATATTTGGCTAGAAAATATCTACGGTGGTCCTTCTTTTGCATTTACTTAACCTACACAACATATGTATGTAACCTGATTTTTGTTAATAAACCAGCGAAAATTATGTGTCTGATTAAAAACTGCCGAGTCATGCGAAAGCTCGAACTAATTGAGAATTGCCCATATAAGAAACTAGCAGAGCACCCGACGTCGTTCGGGGCAAACAAATCAAAATATAAAACAGTACTACAAATATTCAGAACAGCATAATTTAAAGGAGACAAAATATTTTCTTCGTTTATATTAAGGCATCCTTAGGAGCCATACTTTTGGCTTTATCGTGCTATAACTAAAATATATTGATCATCACTTGTACTCCAAATTTTGTTCCATTATTAATATTAGATAGATTAAGGTAACGATCAAATTTCTAAATTAAAATTATTCTACTTCGGTACATTCTGTTTAGCTGCCTTTCGATTAGCTGTTTTACTTAGCTGCACTTTTCCAGTATAATGCTTAATTCGGACGGAGATTGATTCATTATGAACGAACCTTTTTTGTTTAACAGCATCGCGAGATTAAAAAACGATTTAATCTTTCCATTTCAAANAAAATATCTTTTAAACGAGAGAAGCCTGCTATTGAAAAATGTTTCAATACAAATGTTATTTTAATACCATAGAACAAACCTTGGGTCAAGTAAATATATGAATTTCTTGAGGTAATAAATTATAAAAAAAAATATAAATAAAAGTGGTAACCTTCGTTCGTTACTTCTGTTTAACAGCTATTTAAGTCCTCTTTCATTTGATACCAAGTTTGTTTAATTTGGATAAGTGGTTTGTTTATTATTAGGATAAGACATTTATTGTGGACATAAAAATATCTGGCCAAGTTCAACTAATGAAAAAAAGTAAATGGTATTTACGGTTCCTGCTAAATATTTTTGTCCGATAACAGTTTTAGGTACGCACCAGCTACAGTATACTATAAAAACCGCGAGTTTCAGAATTAAAAAAAAAGGGTCACGCCACTTTGACTCTTCATAACTTCTTTTATATTGCAAGCACATACTTCTAATGCATTCGACTCTCCTCTCCAAATACTACCAGTTAATTAAAAACTGAAACGTGAACAATCAGCGCACCTTTTTTGCAACGTAAAAACAAAAAACAATGGGAGAGTCATACCTTTATTTGTGAAAGTTTCCCAATTTTATTTCTGAATTATATGCATATTTGGCTAGAAAATATCTACGGTGGTCCTTCTTTTGCATTTACTTAACCTACACAACATATGTATGTAACCTGATTTTTGTTAATAAACCAGCGAAAATTATGTGTCTGATTAAAAACTGCCGAGTCATGCGAAAGCTCGAACTAATTGAGAATTGCCCATATAAGAAACTAGCAGAGCACCCGACGTCGTTCGGGGCAAACAAATCAAAATATAAAACAGTACTACAAATATTCAGAACAGCATAATTTAAAGGAGACAAAATATTTTCTTCGTTTATATTAAGGCATCCTTAGGAGCCATACTTTTGGCTTTATCGTGCTATAACTAAAATATATTGATCATCACTTGTACTCCAAATTTTGTTCCATTATTAATATTAGATAGATTAAGGTAACGATCAAATTTCTAAATTAAAATTATTCTACTTCGGTACATTCTGTTTAGCTGCCTTTCGATTAGCTGTTTTACTTAGCTGCACTTTTCCAGTATAATGCTTAATTCGGACGGAGATTGATTCATTATGAACGAACCTTTTTTGTTTAACAGCATCGCGAGATTAAAAAACGATTTAATCTTTCCATTTCAAAATAAGATAAAAATGGTAGGGTTTCACAAAAAAAACACAGTTTTAAATATCCGAGTTATCTAATAGATAAATATATATATGTATTTCCCCCTTTTATAATCTCATTTATATATACGTTACTATGAACACCTCCCATAGATACCTATGTATGAATAGAAAATTTCAAGTTCATGTGATTTATGGTTCCCAATTTATGGCTGATTAAAAATTCCACGCCTACGGGATGTGCCGTACCCCCTTTTATAAACTCATTCATATATACCTTACTATAAGCTCCTATCATAGATATGTCTGCATACCTAATTTAAAT